AAGTTTACGTGTGAATCGCCTCCCAGATGAGGTCGACTCACTGCCTGAAAAACGCTGCTTTGGTAAAAATGGTGTTCTTATCTTATGCTAGCAATAACATCCCCCAAAACAATGGGTATTCAGCAATCTTTAAGCAGTGTAGCCTAAATAGCTTTTTATTTAAAAATTTTTAGGTGCATATTGTTTGTCTAATAGATAAAATTCACTTTTGAAGCGAGTTTTTAACTTATACTCTTTTTCCGATTGCAGTGTTTACCTTTTGTTTGGCGCTCGTGATAAATTTTGCGTAGTGGTTTACTTTGTGAATATGCTTACATTGCTTCGTTACTTTTTGGCCTTTTACGTGTTCGTCATCCTGTTTCTCGCTCTTTGTCCTTATTCACTATGGATCAGGCTGACATCTGGGCTTACATGTTGTGTCGACTTGTCGAATATCGTTCATTTTTTAAGATCATCCGCGCTCTACGTGATCATCCATCGATACATTTTGTATTTTGGCAGATCTCAATATTCCTTCTCAAGCCTTTCTTCTGATGGCAGTTGCGATGTAGCTCTCTATGATTATGATTTCATGCATTCGCTGATTCACAGCCGTCAAACTCGCATCGATGGAGGTGTTAAATCCGCTCGCACTGGCTCAACTGATTCTGCAAGTATACTTTTAAAAGCTGTTAATGTTTAGTTCTTCGTAAGGAAGCTCATTTGAGTATGCTTCTTGCGGTCAAGCATCAAGCTGCTGGACGTTCTGAAATGGCATTGAAATTATTGAAACACGCAGCAGAGCTTGATCCTAGTAACTCTGATGTTCTTAACCTTCTGGGTGAGGCATTTGAGAAACTGTGGGTCGTGTCGAAGGGGAATAAAGTTGGGTCGGCTGTGCTAAATTATGATGGGTTTATTACCTCCATTAGCTTCGAGCAGACAGAAAACATCATAACTGCAGAGTCATTGTATACAAAAGCGCTTATCAATAATCCCAGTAACATTCGCGCAACTAATAATAGGCAGAGAACTCTGCCGATTGTGGAGAAAATAGATCGGCTACGGTTAGTTTTGGTCTTAATATTTTCGTGTTTGATCACGATACTGCTCTACTTTACAGTAACCAGATTGTTGTTCGGTTTTTGTTCCACTTGCTGCTAGTAGAGCAGAAACAGCTGCTTTTCTTAAATCATAGTGATCCTAGTAGGACAAAAACTTTTGCTTTTGCACTAACAGCTTTTATTTTTACTCTGGTTACTATTTATTGGTTTATACTATCTTCAGTTTTCAGAACATAGATCTAAAAGTTATGCGCTTTTATCTTGTTCCGGAATCTGACCCTGGTCTGAAGAAAGCGAAAATTGAGCACTATTTCCTGCATATTTATCATTCTAATGCTCTTGAAGGGAACACGCTGACTTTGGCTCAGACCCGAGCTTTGTTAGAAACTCGTTTGGCTATTGGGGGGAAAAGTCTGCAGGAGCAAAATGAGGTACGATTATTTTCGCTGGAATTTTCCTGATTGTTGCCTTCTTGCACTCTTGTTGTTCTGCAGGTTCTTGGCCTAGATGCGGCATTTAAGTACCTTAGCACTGCATTACTTGGTGGTACTTCAGTTCCTATATCACTGTCTGATATATTGGAACTGCACCGGAGAGTTTTGTCGTTTATTGACTTAACGGAAGCAGGACGTCTGCGACGAACACAAGTAATCAAATTTTTATCGTTTTCCGAACCCACCATAATTTGCAATTTTTCCCTTCCCGCTGGCCTTTTGAGCTTCAAATGTGTATTTTTGTATTAATGATAATTTTTTCAAGATCGCTAATCACGTTTCTTCTTAGCCTGGCTTTCGGTTGAAATCAGTGGTATGGATTATTAGTCCATTTTCAGGTTTTTGTAGGTGATCATGTACCTCCGCCAGCAAATATGTTACCCGAATTAATGCAAGAGCTTGTTGACTGGATCAATTCTGACGAGGCAGCAGCTCTGCATCCTATTGAATTGGCCGCTTTGGCCCACTGGAAACTTGTATACATTCATCCTTTTTACGATGGTAACGGTCGAACATCTCGACTTGTCATGAACCTTCTTCTTATGAGGGCCGGTTTTCCACCGGCAATCGTGAGAGAAGAGGATCGGAACGTCTACTATGAAGCCTTGAAAACTGCCAATCTGGGTGATGTGAGGCCTTTTATTCGGTTTATTGGTATGTCCCTTATCAGGTTACCATAGTATTGCTTTTCTCTTATTCGGATGTATCTGCTTTCAGTTTCTCTACATCATGATTTGGAAGGGCCTTAGGCTGGTTACCACTGAGAGTTAACTCTTCGTTATTTTCTGTCTAGCACTTATTGGTATTGTATTCCGACACAGTTATCGATGCATACTCGATCTTATTGTCAAGGTGGCTCTGTGGCTGTGCCTATTTTCATACCAAAAGCGTTAATTTTATGTCTGTATTTTACTTGTATATCTAATTGTCATAAAGTTTTGGGAATCAAACTATTGTATGCTTGAAGTTTCACAGTTAATGCATTGCCCATTTGGCTGTTTTAATACACCTAACTGCAGCTGAATGTACAGAAAGAGCTGTCGACGATTATCTCAAAGCAGCTTTTGGCACAGCTGCCTCTGAGGTTGAAAAAAAGGTGGTCATACCCTCGAATCGGCCTTCTTTGCATCAGCTGGGTCCGCTCGTTCAATACATTCCGACCCTTCACTTGCCTTGGATGCCATATGGACAGCCGGCGGAGCAGCCAAATAGCATGGACAACACGTAACGCCCTCTAGCCACTATGTCGCTTATACCCGTGTCTTTCATATGTGATTAATTGGCTTCTTATTTTTTGGTGTGATATGCTCATTATTTTCGCTTGCGTTGTACCAGGTCATTATTTTTTAATAGACACTAATGCTTTGATAATGTCGTTTTCTTTTATAAATTTCACAAAGTTTATTCTGGGTTTCGTGGTTTACTGCATATCTTTTTGTTTGCATTGCTATTAGCTCCTCACAAATCTTTACTTTTCTGGCAGTTTTCCAATTGGTCAGGATCATGGTCTATTTGCACGTGAATGCAGCAATTAATATTAGCTATTGTTCTCCGCTGCTTGATCCGATTTTAAGGAAATTTTACCCAGTGATTACGGTGTGATGCAGTTTTGTATGCACCCGTAGGTCATTTGCACTTCAATGCTAACTTCACGAACCGGATGTCCATGTCATTCGTTGCCTCATTGCACATTGTTGTAAGGTATTTGTTGTTAGTGATTTTAATTCAAGGTTCTTTTATACGTAGTTATCCTCATTGAGCCCTGTTGAGAATGCTCAAAATCCAATACTCGGATTTATTTAGTCCTCATTAATCGTATTTTATTTCCTATGAGGCATGTTTCTCTTTTGAGGTTCTGAGTTAGCGTACTTTTGTGGTTTCCAGGACCCGGACATAGTCAATGTGATGTCATTGCTCTGATTGGTAATACTGTTGTATTATAGAACTCAATGGTTTGTGGAACAAATAATAGCGGTTATGGTCAAAATAACACATTAAAATTATCAATTATTGTTCGTGGCAAGTCCTGTCAAAGGTGGCCCGTGAAACGCAATGACGGAGCGGCCTGCTATGTGGGTCTATGCTGATGCTTAAATCATGCGTCCTTTAAGCACGGGTCCATTGGCTGTGGCTTCATTTATCTGAGGAAATTGGGGATGGTGGGCCACATTGTTGCATCGTGTCCAACTCTACTTTGTCACAGTTCATGCAAGGTCGGTAAGGTATTTTAACTAGATCATGGTTTCGAAGTTTATGCAAGTGATGAGATACCGAAAATAAGAACTAATATGGAATCGAAGCAGGGGTGCAAAGTAGTTGTGCTTTCAAATTTATTTTTTGAACTGGGAATTGTCGAGTCTGATAGCTTCAGGTATTGGTGTGGGCATCAATTGAAACTCAGCTCTACTTGAAGCATAAATTGCGCTCTAGTGAGGGTTTTATTCATTTTGGAAACCATCAGCTTATATGATGTGCCATCAGTGGACCATCTAAAACATTTGGTCGGCTTCGTTCTTGCTCATTATGAACGATGCTTCGAGATGTACCATAATTCAGCATTCACCAAACGACTGATTCTGTGTACTTAGTGACATTTTATTGGTTTGTGTGTTAAGGTTGGCACCGAGGAATAATTAGAAAAACCTAAGTTTTTTGGCACATTTAGAAAAGAATTGATCACACAATAGCTCGAAATGTCAGACCTGAAACAGGCGGTTGAAGCTCTGCGTCGCCAATTGCGATTTTTTCACATTGGGGTCGATGTTGATTTCCATTCGTAAGTTCACCTTCATCACCTTTGCATCTAATATCTTAACTGTAACGAACTTGCTTCCTTTTAGCATGATTCTTGGGATGAGTCCATCGTACATCAAACTTTATCGTTATCTTCTTTGTGAATACGACAATGGGGTCTTTCTCTTCCTTTTGTCGAATAATTTTCTTTTATCTGGTATGTTTTCTGCCATTGAATATCATGCTTAGTATCTTACCACCCTTGTAATCCGCTTTTACATTGTACTTTGAGTGATCCCAATTTCTCTTTACGGTAGAACCAGAATCTATGCGCCCTTAGCTAGTCTCTTTTCAGAAACCGAAGATAATCGTTTCATGGAGTCACTTTATCGAATCTGTCGCGATGTATTCAGTATGAAACCTCCTCTCTCGCTGGCTCAATTTCTCACAAAGTCATTTGCAATAAAGAAACTCAAGATGGCTACCGAAATTGTGAAAGCTGTAGGTGAACTGCGTAAAGCTCTCTGTAGAAAGAAATCCAATGATTGCAGTGTACTCCCTCTCGTATATACGTCCTCGGATGGCCCAGGAAGAACCCGTCAGTCAAGAACGTTTTCGTGCCCATCTCTATCGGGGTCCTCAGTACTGCATCTGCCGTCCTCATCGTCCTCTCAAAGGGCGTGTAGCGATGCTGCACATCGAACAATGCGTAGGGTGAGTTCAGTCTTCCTCCAAAATGCCCAGTACAATCAGATTTCTCCTACCCGATGTCCGCGGCTCCTTATTTCGTCTCAACAAACTGATTCCACTTCTCCTGCGGCAGATGCAAAATTACCTTGCGCAGATGACTTTTTGCACCCTGGCCGTCCACATATTGTCAATACATAATCTCCGTAAACATTTTTAAAATCCTTTTTTTGCAAAAAAAGAGAACATTCAAAGCCGACAATAACATTACTAAGCAAGGTATAATGGCTATGAATTATGGAACATCATTTTTCATTCGATTAAGCCAAAGTGGAGCTCCTCTTCGATCATTGGTAAAGGCTCAGGTGGTAACATAGAAAATGATTACCTGTCCGGCCTTTTGACCGCCCTCAATACGCTCTCAAACCAACTCTCTCAAATCGTCGATCGAGTTGCTGGAATTGAGTCGCGTGTATTTGCAATCGAACAGCCTGTCCTAAAAGCCGCTGCAAATCGAGCTGCCCTTCTTGCGAATGAAGCTAACTTCAAGGCTAAGCAAAAGCATGTACGATTCATTTGTCTCATTTCGCCACATATCTAAGATTAACAATATTGTCAGAAAATGACAACGTTAGGATCTCTAGGTAGAGGCAAAACTCAGTATGCTCCATGGAAGGTGTTATCTGGTAGTTTTGTGTTTTGGTTTTCCATTTTCATACTTACAATATTTTTGCACTTGATGTATGTTCTCTACGAAAGGCAGCTCGTAGTTAATAAAACCATCTTCAAATGATGCATTTCAATGACCTCACTGTACTTCGGAAAATCATCAATTTGTGCCTTCATTTTGCCTCAGTACCCAGTAAATTGATAGAATTTTAAATAAGAATTCTTTTTTAGATCTTATCAGGAAAACTAGTTGACGTTTAATTGCTAAGAGAAATATTTGTGTTGCTTATGTGTGAGCGTACCTTTGGTTACTGGCCAAACGGACACAAAGAAGCCGTTTCTGTGAGGGGTGATTTGACCATTGGATCTTCCTCGTTTTTACCATTTTGCTTTTAATCTGTCTCCAGGATTCTTATAATGCCAAGTGTGGAGACTCCCACGACATCACCGGCTCGTCGCTTGATTTTGTGGATCGAGAGAATCATGCTCAATTGCTTGAAAAAGCTACCCAGAGAACTTTTTTGGATATCCCACATTCGCAAACCAAAAATCAGTTAGTTTGCCTACAGGAACGGCCTGTAAGTGGTAAAAGCTCTGTCTGTGTTATGCGTGTCATTGCCATTGGTAGCCTAGCTTGTGGCCAGAGGTGTATTTAAGTTAAAAGAAATTTAATTTTTTTTACAAAGAAAGGTCTTCATCTTGAATACATGACTTATATAGGAGACTTCTTGCTTACTACTTTAATCCTTTTGCATAAGGGTATGCCAGTGCTCATCAGCCGTTTTTTGCAGGCGTTTTCAGAACCATGCGTTTCATCAAAAATTAATAGTCCCTTCTCGTCGAGTGAACCATCTGCCAATGCGTTTGCCCCTTCTCCTGATAGATGTAAATCTCAAGGTGCACCTGATGGCTTACCTTCTGATCGTCATTCTCCAAGACCTGTTGGTGACTATAATGATTCATCTACACACCCAATCACGGAAGACCAAGCAGACATTACCGTAGTGCACAATCCTGTACTTCGGCAGACTTTTAAAAAGACCGTCCCACTTTACCAGAAAGGTGCTCCTAATGGTCTTCAACTTTTTTCGAAACCTGTTCATGATGAGCCTCTGCCTCAAAGCCTCACCGCCACTGCCTTTCATGAGCCGAACACAGTGAGGCTTTCACATCTGATTTTTGCAAGTCTCCCATACCTTGTGATAGTTGAGCAAGACACCCTACTTTTTATGTAATTATCGCGTGCAAGCCTAACAAAGTACTAAGGCAATGTAAGGCTTAGTGACGTGCATCATACACCTCTCCTGACTTAGTTGCCAGCGTGTTTGCTACACCACTCATTGTAACCGTACCCCTTTTTTTCCTAGAGGAAAAATGACTTCACTTGTTCCTTTCTAGTCAAAATCAGCATTTACGATGCTTCAATCAAAATCCAATGTCTGCAGCCCTTTTCAAACCATAAACCCTATGCGGTTGGGTAGTGCCGGAAGAAGCTGCGATTCAAACTCGTCTCCCAAACACCCGACTGTCTGTTTTTCGAACGAGGACACATTGGCCACCATCATGGCATGCAATGACAACTCGAATAACTCCTTCGACGCTGACCAAGGATTGGAGCAGCAAGTGAATCGGATTTTCGCTATGTGAGTGCTTATGACAAACCTCCTCCTTGTCATAGGGAATTCACCACTGGACCGATAAGTCCTAAGACCTTAACATAATCTCTCCTTTCACTAAAGTTGCATCTCCTTAGGTTAACTGAAACTCAGGACCTACTCAACACCCGCCAACCTTTGCCATCAACGTAGTCGCCACTTAACTGAAATCGCGAATGCGCGGCCGCCTCTACCCCCATAGACAGCTGGGCCATGTAAACATCCTCCCCAAATTTACTGATGCAATGAACCTTATCAACGCCGTGTAATTCCCTCCAAGCTACCGAGCCATTACTAAGATACACTCCCATTAGCTCAGCAAAAAGTCATCCCTTGAATTTATAATGCAAAATCAGCCCTTATTTACGAACATAGTTGGTATAGAAGAAAAAAATCAAACACGTCCACTTCTCTTCTGATGGTGTTTTCTGCCGTGACTCCGTCCCCTATCGCGAGAAACGGATCGAGAATGTCGTCTTTGGCTCCTGCTACTACCGCCCCAAGCGCGCACAGCGCCGTTGTCAGGTGATGCGGAGGACCGATGTCTACGCCTGGCGTAGGCTGCCGGTGGACTTCTCGACTTGCTATGCGCCTGTAGATGAGCAGAAAAACAACTTTTGTGGGACGATAATAAGGATTGCCAAGATGAATATTATATACCACTAGCTTAACAAATATGCGAAAGATAGAACAAAGAAGTGTACCCTCTTTCTTTCAACATCAGCAACAGCGGCAGCTTCGAGAGCTCGCTCGCGCTGTGTCTTGAGTTGCTCTACAACGGCGTGTGCGACTGCGGCAGGCACGGAAGAGGGGGGAGGCGGCGGTGCGGCCGTGACTGGTTTTAGGATAGCTGATTGAGGCGGAGACAGTGTGAGGTGGTTGGACGCCCTACTGCGTTTTCCTTCCTCTACCTCTCGCTCTACCTTCCTCAATTTCGACTGCCTTAATTTAGCTGCAAACAGTGCAGCACGCTTGCGTCGCTCCAGCTGCAACCTCGCCTGCTCCTCCATTGACTGAATGTCACGCGCGATTTCCTCAGGGGTGAGGATGCTCCCAGTTATGCCCTTGGATGCCCCGTTGGAGATTGTAGGAAAGACACTTATTGGAGTGTCATCTATGGGTGAGCGCGGTGTTTTGGGAGGCTCTCTCGGTGGTGGTGAAGTCGAGGCAATCCCCCACCGTGATCCGTTTATTAAGCTTACTTAAATAACAACAGAGATAAATCGAAGAAAGCTAAACCGAATCTTTCAAAAAATGAGCGAGTAAATGGGTTCTTGGTTTGCAAGGCATTGTGGTAAGGAAGAAAGCTGAGCTGCAAAACACTAAAACGAATCATACATTTGAGCCTTGTGAACGATGTTGGAACAATGCTAACCAGATGCAGACGTGTGGTGGAAATGCCCCCAAAATACTCACCAGTTGGGACCTCCAGAACAGTAGTAAGTGTCCGTTCCATAGACTCCTCATCATGAGCATTCGATAATGGAGAGGAATGAGAAGATTCATTTCTGTTTTCGTCCTCACTATCACTCGCAGAAGAGTAGTTACTCATGCCTGGCAGGACACTGCAGGAAGATGCGCGCAAAATGGAGGGATCATCACAATTCGCAGTCGAAGAGGAAATGGATTCCTCCATACCCTTCAGGCGGCTCGAACTGACCGACTTAATTAGACGAAAGGAGATGCTCTTGTTGCGAGCTACAGTAGGACTGTCGTTTTCTTGTTTTGATGTCGCATGCTTACCTATAATGTTAGTTAGTTTAGTAATAAGATATACATATCCTCCCACTTCGTAATACACTGTTCAAGATGAGTAGATAACTTATCAATGACTGGGATGCATAGATCTCCGTCTGATTATTTAAAAAGTTGGCTCAAAATACCATAATACGGCAAAAATCATTTAACAATGGACCAGATTAGACCATCAATTAGCACGTTTGTAGAGTTCTAATAGAGCTCATTTAGACTCACAATCTTGATTGTTTTCAGTGTTTGGTGACTTCATCCCACTTTTCCCGCTAGGACGCGCTTTCGTAACATACTCCTTCTTCTTCGCAAGATAATAGTCGTGATGAATGTGCCCTGTTTGCAGGAACGCAAAACGAGCGTCGTTCTGCTTTTGCCTCCTTACTACTTCTTGGAATTCCTCCCCGTTACGAGCGACATACTCTGCCATTTTGTCAATGATTCCTCGGAGGTCGGAAGGTGGGGACATGGAACTGAGAGAAAAGAGGAAAAGCACTGAAATTTTAGTTCAAAGATATCTGGTACGACCTTGCTTGATGTTATGTGGTTGCAGATAGAGCTCAACTTGACGGAATGATTTCTATCATGAAATGTTGACTAAGTTTGGAAATTACTAACCTGGATCTGGAAGCTAGGTGAGACTGTCGCATGGCGTTGACAGCAGCAGAGGCAGCGGTAGCAGCTGCCCGAGCAGATTCTGCCACAAGATAGGACTCGCCTGCGGACTCAATAGCATCACTCTTCGAAAAATGCGTGTAGTAGTGTGAATAGTAGTACCGATAATACTCTTGATAACAGCGCTCGTAATCAGCCTCCGACATTAGCAGAGATTCAGATGAATCTCGAGTTTCCACCATTTCAACACCAGACGTACTTCCTTGGATATCAGGAGTTGGGCGTTTACCATCGCTTTCCAAATTTTTAGCAGAACCGTGATTGAGACTGAGCCTGAAATGAATTGATTGCAGCAACGGTGGAAATTTACTAAGTACCACAGACTAATAATTGCCCTTCCTAATAGAAAACCGCTTTTAGATGAACTTACTTAAGCCCGAAGGCAAAACATACAAGGTTAGGAATGGCGAACTATCGCGGTCGAAACTAGAGTTAAAGGAATAAAAAGCCAAACGTCTCTGACAGTAGCGCTAATATCGTCGAGGGGAAAACAGAGACTGGTTGGCGAAAACAATCCCACTTCCGCTTGCTTGAATTCGAACCTTCCCAGCATAAGTCATGAATAAAATCGGCGCATGAAAGCACCGATTTGTGATGAAAAAACTTGCCTATCACCAGTTGGCTTCTTGAACCGATTGATGAGGGATGCATATGCAGTCTCCGATATATCAATCTTTGGCAGTTTTATTTCATATGGTTCATCAGCATTAGCCTACAACATGAATGCGAACAAGTGAGTGAAACCATACATTACCTACAAAATGTAAGCTTAAAAGTGATGAGGTAGGACAGAGAAGCAGCAGAAATTTAATGTTAGAAAAATGTCGAACTCACACCAACGTCTGTATCAGTCGGTCTACCCGCATTTGAGAGGGGCCTCTGGCGAGGGATATAACGACCTGATTTTATAAGCTTTACTAGCTCCTTGTAAAAAGGGTTGAGCCGATTATCGTAATTTAAGAAACTGAATTGAGGATTTCTGGACTGCTTGGTTTTAAGTACAATTTCCATTTGAGCATTGTTACGAGCGATGAAGACAGCTGTCTTCTCGATTATCGCAGCTTGTCTTTCGAAATCGGGCAAAACCATGCCCGAAGGAAGAACCAGATCCGGTGGACAAACATATGGTTCACATTCATGATCCTTCTGGGGTTCATTTTGGTCAGGGACAAAGCTAGCTACCTTGGCGTCTAAATTTCAGAAAAAAGTTAATAAAGTCAATACCAAGAACTACACAACTGATTGAATGAAACCAACCCGCCAAATCCTGCATTATTACATGCTTTTCTGACTCAGTTTGGTAGTAAGAGAAACCAACAGTTGAGTATTTGCCTCTTGACCCCTCTGGCTCATTGTCTGCATTGCTTTCTGTAAAATAAAAGAGTAGTACTAAGCAAACAAGAATGGAGTTTCTGCATGGACAGAAATTGTTCGCAAATTTAGTGTTTAGTTAATTACATGCCATTTTCGTCATCATCCAAATGAAGTGAGAACAATGGAGTCGCCTCAACGCAGAAAATCGAAGAATATCTCTATCATGAATCGAAACCAGGAAGCTGAAGCAGAGACTGGCAGCTACGAATGAAGAAATTCAAACAGAAACAAACATGTACAACTTACCCAAGTCAGCAGAAACGAAAAGCAGCTACCTTGCAGGGGACGTAGAAAACTAGGATTCAAAAAAGTCGCAAAGTGGCCGCCAATAGGTCAGCCAAAGAAGAAAGGGCGACTAGCGCCATTTAGGGCGACCTTTCACAGCCACTTTTAGTGCACTCACCCTGTACTACCGCCATATCGTGGATGTCGGTCTGCAATTCGAGATAACGCTCGTAGTTACACATTTCCTCTAGGTCCGCGTCTTCAGCAGTCTGACTTCTTAATCTTTGCACGATACTGTCCGCATCGTACTCGCCGACGTCTTGTAAGTAGCCACGACAATCAAATCTACGACACAAAATTAATTTGGATAAAGAGAACATCCGTTCCAGAAAACGCTAGAATTTGCAAAACAATGGTTTTACGGAGCCACAACGCAAGAAAACAGGTTCATTATAACTCAAGTAACACAAATGTTCCAGCTTACCGATCAATAGTTACACTCGAGTCATTCGCCCAAGGTACAAGCATTCTACCGCTATTGATCTCCAGGCTTTTTTCGGGATCGTTAAAAAGCGAACACCTGCAACCCACGACCCGCAAATCACCGTAATCCTCTGACGAACCTGAATCCATCCACCAAATGCCCCACACGAAAAAAAAACCGGAATGCAAACAAACAATTACCGGGCACGCTTAAAAGCAAAACGCAACAATCACTGCGTGCTTTTTTAACAACAAAACAAAAACCCCCTTGTGAATTTTATTAATACAAACCTAAGTTATTTTTTGCATAAAAAATGGTGACCAAGCCAAAAAACAGAACATAGATAGACCAACCTATAAAATGCAAATGACCATTCACCAAGTTTATTTAGCCACAAATGAGAGAGCAGCAATCAGCACGCCTCACAGCTATTGTCTTTAAAAAAATTACTAGGTCACGCTCTGTGTAGCGTCCCGAGACCTTCTAGCCGGTATAAGAATTCAGTAAGTGTAGCGGGATACACGTATTCTGAAGACGACGGGACAAATTGACCTAAGCATGGCCCGCAGACTAGCTCACAGGTAAAAGCGCCTGACAAATCCCAAAGTGACCGCCAAATGTCCCGTAGTCACATAAACAAAGCATTACACTACCCATCTCTTCTTTTGAGCAACGTCTTCGGCGCTCCCCTTTGGTACACTCCCCGCGCCAGCCATCACAACTTATTCAATACTACAAGAAAGCACCCACGAGCCAACCGCGTCAGTCGACAGACAACACGAGATCGAGGCACCGTACCTGGTTTTCTCGGCAGCTTCGGTCTGACAACCAGATTCCGGGCCGCATTCACCCGTTGACCATCAATTGCCTCAAAGACTAGACGGTGGAACTCTGATCTATTTCATATATGTTACAAGGAAAACGGCATGAACCACTGTCCCGTGGTGTCATTTCCGACACCTAACCACGGAGTTTGTATGGGACATTCAGACACGAAATTTTGCCAGATAGTTCCCAGCAATGCCGCTTCAGTTGTTGATAGCTTGTCAGCGGAACGCGGGAATAAGGTGAAACCAAATGCAGACGTCAGTCCGAATCCTTTTGTTGTGAAGGATTCAGGGATTCTCCGTCACCAAGGTGAATGCGACTCCTTCAATTCACGTCCCTTTTCGCCTGTATCTTCATCTATTGCACTTCGACAGAGTCAGACCTCCTTCTACGCATGGTTAGCTCGTGATTGCCGGTGCACAACGCCCAAATGCGCTTATTGATCTTGGATTCGTCCACCTAAAAGTAGGATTCCTTTGCAGTCTTGTCTGCTGGTTAGATTGTAAACATCGTGTCGCGAAAAGAGAGGTTTCAAATTTCCGGTCAAGGGAACAAGATTTTGAGGTCCGACAGATTATCAGGCTCTTAGTTACCCAAACCCAGAGCATCAACACCAAGAACAAGCGACACATCTCCAAATCCTGTACCATTTGCAGGTACTGAACCATTGCATCATCCGATCGAACCATTGCTCTTAGGCGTGTTCGTGCTGTTCTTTTCCGGAAATCAGTCGATTAAGTGGCAGCACAAACGTAGGATGCCAGTAAGACAGCGATGTCTGTTAAGAAATAGATTTTTCCGGACACTATGTCGCTTTTAACAAACGACCAATGAGGAACAAGCCGCGAAGAGTGACCCCACCTCGACTGCAGTAGAAAGGTCTTCATAAGCACTTAATACCTAAAAGTCGTTTAAAAAATATCGGGTCCGCTTTCCGCTACCACCAGTGTGGCGTCCCTAGACCTGGCCGGTATAAGAAGTCAGTAAGTGCAGCTATATACATGGATCCAAGCATGATCCGAAGGCCAGCACACATGTACAAGGACCAGACAAATCCTAAAGTGACCGCCAAAAATCACATAAATAAAGTAGTGCACAACAAAAGGATTCAAGATAATCCGTGGCGTACACATTGCCTTTAAATGTTTGAGCTGCCCTTCGAAGCAGGCCAAACTCTCGCATCTTCTCCTAGTCCTTGAGTACAAGTTTTCAGCCATGTTCAACGCCTTTCAGCAC